GAATGTACAAATGCGCTTCACACAATTGATGTATGTATGGATTGTGATAAGAGTTGTATGAGCCCCTAATAAAATGATTTTTTAAAAAAAGACTTACAGACTCGGACAGCCACATGGGGAGTTTTTACAGTCAGAACCAATTCCATGCAATAAGTTTGGGGGTGTGGGGCTGGGTTAAGCTCATAATAAGGGCTCTTACTACCATCAAGTCAATTCTGACCAGATCAACTGGTGGTTTTGAACAGCTAACCTCAATGTTAGTAGTCCCACATGTAAAACAACATGCCACCAGGGCTTCCTTAATGAGCTTAGTCAATTTAAAAAATGTTGAAAGACCACAAGGTAGGGTTTCAGATATTTATACGAGAAGTTTTCTACTCTATTGTTCAATAATCTGTGGAGAAATAGAATTATTATTTTCTTGTAGTTAGCTGTTATGAGATGAAGAGCCATTTCTGACTCAGTGACAATTCTCAAAATTTTTGTCATTTTATGTTCAAAATAAAAATTAATCTTTGCAAACATTTGTTTAGAGAGCAGAGTTATTTTTAGTTCTGGGATTCCATGATTGTTAGAATACAATATGTGGTGTATGAACTAATTATATTTACTTTCTAATTAAAAAAAAATTAGACACCACAAAGCAATTTAAAATTAATGTGATACTTCCTAAAACCTAATATTTAGCACAGATGCAAACAAACAAAACACTGATTACAAAATAAGCTAAATGGTCATATATCATGTAGCTGTGACTTTTTCACCTCATTTTCTAAGAAACGCTATGTTGGTTAAAAAAAGCTCTACGGAATGTGCAGAATGTTATGGTTACAAAAGAAGAACCCACAGCACACACACAAAAGGAGTCAGTGCTGTTGCCCTATCTTTAAAAAATAAATATTCTCTAAGAACTTTGTAACAATAAATGTTTGTGCTTCTAGGTAGGAGGCCTTATGATCTAAGGAACTTCTGAGAAGCTAACATTAAAGACCACAAAGCAAGATCAGAATGCCCTCCTACTCCCAGAGGGAACATCCCAGTTTGTCTACCAGCCTTGTTCACTGCCAGATGTTTCAGCCCTTCCTAAGCACACCAGGGAGCTTCAAAAAGTTTGTGAAAATATAGAATTTAAAGAAAAGGAAAATTTTCTGTTGTTTTTAAATCCCTTCATATATCATGACCCCAAATGTCAACCTTACATTTCTTTCAGAACTTCTTAATCTGACCCTAGCCCCTACCTAACAAATACTCCTGTACTCTCCAGAATCCCCACTGTATGATTAGAAAACTCCTTAATACTTCTCAACAAAGCTTTCCATTTATATTCCAATTTTAACAAAAACCTCTCTCTAGCCCACTGTCAAAACCCCCAGCCAAATGCTGCTAATTAACATACCCCAGGTGCAAATCAATGGCCCCCTCCACTCACCCCCCCCACACACACACACACACACACACACATAGGAATGGTAGGAGAAGCTTGCTGGAAATTCAAGCCAAGACCAGGAAAAAAGATCATCTACATTGTGAAGGAGACACTGATAGTCCTGTTGATAAGTATGGTGGGTGATTGGGGGGAAATAACCTCATAGTGGGAAGGGATGCTAAACAATCAGTATAGGGAACCTAGAGGGACAATGGGGCAGATTTTATGTTCCTGGGTAGACACTATGAATACATTTCTACAAACCTTCAGTGAGCCAGGCCATGGACTAATCGCCATGCTCATCATTGGGGTAGTTACATAATCTGTTATCAGTTTGAGACTTAAGAGTGAAGCAGTGGAATTTAGCCTGTCAATCCGATCACAGCTTGATGACCTCATTTAGTGGCGTTAAGAAGATAAATAGTTCACTGGAGGCGGAACAACACAGGCTCACTCCCTGTGAGACATGCTTGCTGATAAGACACATGCAGCTACACTAGAGCTCTGGAGCTAAAGGAACCATGTGGAGACTCCTGCTAACACTGAGATGCCTCTACTGCCACTGGATCCACAAGACTTTCTGCCCACTGGCCTGTGATCTTCCTGCATTCGGCATCATTGCATGTGTTTCGATAGTCTGAAGAGGAATTTATAGATTGGTATCTGACATATGGGCTATTAGTTGGACTTCTGGACTTAATCTGGACTGGGCTGAGATGTTTTCTCAATATTCACTTGCTCTTGTATATAAAGCTCTTTCTTATACACACACACGAGTGTCTCCCAGGATTTGTTTCTCCAGTCTACCTGGACTAACCACAATGATGGAAACTGACCTTGCAGGCAGCATGGTGTAACACAGAGGCAACACCAGAAGGACATAACAAAGAGGCCCCACTAAATGAACTGAACCCTGCCTTGAAGCTGTCTGTACCCTTGGACTGAGGACCTGGGTACTTGGATGGGAGAGGGAGCAGAGCGTATCGACCCAACAGCTGTGGAAGTAGCCTTTATTAGAGAACCCGCAGCTCAGTGGGTATCCAATGGTAAGGGACTCAGGATCACCATATATGTAGCACCTCGATGTCCACCTTGCAGTGGCATGACAGGTTCTGATCTGTTGAGCAGGAATCTGCACTTGGAAGA